GACATTCAAGCAAGAAGATGGTGTAAAGGCACAGAACCCACACTCTCTACAGCAATGATTGCCACCTCAAATATCCTTGTTATTGTTTTTTGTTTTGTTTTTTTTGAGACAGGGTTTCACTCTGTCACCCAGACTGGAGGGTGGTGGCCATGATCATAGCTCATTGCTGCCACGTAGCTGAGATTACAGGACACACACCACCACGCCGGGCTAACTTTTGTAATTTTTTTTTTGTAGAGACGGGGTTTCACCTTGTCACTTAGGCTGATCTCAAATCCCAGGGCTCAAGTGATCCACTCACCTCAACCTCCAAATTGTTGGGATCACAGGTGTGAGCCACCACACCCAGACTCTTGTTATTTTTGAGATAAAATAAAATCTGAAGAATGAGGGGACAGTTCTGATTTTCAACATGACCATTGCATAGCTAATAATAGCATAGTCATGATTCAGCCACCCTGTCATTTTGTTGTAACAGTTGAGTATAATCTTGAGGCTGTCATGGTCCAACACAATTCAAGTAAATATAACAGGTGCATAGATAATTCCTATAATTGAGATTTCCCCCAAATATTCCCCCTAAATGGCTTACAGACACCTGATGCTCATTTAAATAGAGATTCTACTCTTAGGGTTGAAGTTCCATGTCTGCTCTATCCAGGTCCTTACTGTGCATGGATTCTCTTGCTGCACATCCTTGAGAGGGTGGGGCCAAGTGGCATAGGTCACCCCATCCTCGTTCATTCTCCCTGTAGGTCTGCAACTGTGGCCCTGTGAAGGTACAGAGGTACAGAGCTGGGCAGGGTGTGGCTTTCTGACCGTAGTCACCCCTTGCCATGATATCTGCCTGCTATCACTGATCTAACCCTAATGACTGGAGGAATATCATGGAGGACGTTCCTGCCCTGTGCTGGACACCAGGAGAGGTCTAGCACCTGGGTTTCTTAGAAGGCTTCCCAGAAGGCTGTGCATCCTGACTGTGTTCCTCTCACATCCACCTGGACCCTGAACCACTTTCCTCTGGAGCCTGATTTTTGTCCAGATCTTTTCTGCTTTTATTGATAATCTGAGGATTGTGAGGTGATGGTGGCCATTGACAGGGTCCTACCGTGCAGAGAAGAATGTCCAGGTCTCTTCCTGTGGCGTCTATCTTTTCTCCCCAACCCCCTTTCCTGAACCTCCCACTCCCGCGGTGCACCAGTGTAGGGGAGGCCACTTGGTACCATTTTTACCTAAATGTTTGGGAAGACATTCTTTGGAATTTTTGAAATCTTGAAAGGTTTTGAGACATGTACTGGCAAGCAAAACATACAGGTTCCTGCCTTTCCATGTCATCCAAGCTTGTGGCTTTGTTTTGTTTTATTTTGCTTTTTATGTGCTATAAAGTTGTTGAAATATTTTGGTCCTTTTTCATCAGAGAACCTGGTAGTGTTCTGTCTGTAGTCTGATCAAAGTGAATATGGCCCATAGATCACCCTGCAGGATCACAGCCTGAGCAGACAGATTTTGAAACTTGGATTTGGAACTTTACCAAACTTTTGAAAAAAACATTTAATCACATACACACGCAGCTTCCACAAAGCAATTTACTTCCAACCGCAATGTGTTCGTTCAAATGAGTTGTTCAGACCTATACGACCACGCTTAGTTTCACTTCCCACCACAGCTCTCTGATAACCTCTGAAAACTCTGTTTTTGTGGTTATACTGTCATTCTTTATTCATCTTTTTAAACTACAATCAGGTCAAAATTACAATTTTTAACTGGGAATGTGGATTGGTGGTTAAAAACAGGAAGCTTGATGTGTAAGTCTGAAAAGCAGTGACAATATGTAAGAAACTCAGAAAAATTCAGAACCTGCCATTATTGATGATTGCTACAGAGTGTTACCACCTGGGGACTCACTGAAAACTTTCCAGTAGAGAAGGATGAGGTTACTAACCAGCCACAAGTGAATGAATATATAAACATGGTTGATCTAAAATCTTGGATTATATTTGCATGTCCACGTGGACGAAAGTTCAAGCAGTATCACAGACTGAACAGTGAAAAGTAAATATTCCTCTGCAGAAGATTGTATTTTCCAGAGAGAAAGGCAATCATATCTCCTCTCCCAAGTGTTATTCTGCAATGTGACCTTGACATTCCAACTGTAGAAAGGAAGAATCTAATTTATTTCCCTTTGTATCTGGGTTGTTTCAGTGACTTGCTTGAGTAATAGAATGAAATGAGAGTGATATTCTGGGACTTCCAAAGCCAGGTCGTAAGATGCCTCACAGCTTCCACCTGGGACCCCAGGAGCACTTGCTCCTAAGACACTTCCTCTTGAAGCCCGGTCCCTTGGCCGGGAGAAACCACATGGAAAGACACAGGTGACTGCTCTGGTTGATGAGCCAGGAGAGCTTCCAGCATCAGCTGTCAGTCACATGAGTGAACCATCTTGACATCCGGCTCAGGTGAGCTTACAGGTGCTGGCAGCCCTAGCTGACTGCCCGACAAAACTCAGCCATGCCACAGAACTGTTTTAAGCCACAAAAGTGTGAGTGGATTGTTATATGGCAGTAGATAACTGGAACACCCTCTCATTTCTTTTGACAAATTTATTTTGTATTCTTTCAGTGACATTTTATGCACACACATTCAATGACGTGTACATCTTCCCCTTTGCAAATAATAGCATAATAAACACACTACAGTACTCACTCTGCTTTCTTTTTTAACCAATAACACAGCTTAGAGATTATTCCATACCTGTTCATGTAGACCTGACTTGCTCCTTGACAGTGGGAGAGTACCTTCTATTTTAGCACCGTAAGTTATTTAAGCAGTCCACTATTAATGGACGTGTAGGGTTACCATCCCTGTACTTTGTTAGTACAGACAGTGATTCATTGTCTATTCTGCTAAAGTATCCTTTTGTACAATGTCTATTGTAAATACATAGGTTACCTTCCTAGAAGATATTTGTAGCTTCTTTAATTCTATTGTATGTGCATTTGATTTTTGGCAGTAAATACTGCCAACTCCCCAAAAAAGAGGTTGTGTCATGTTATACTCTCCCCACTCAGATTTAAGGCTGTTTTCCCAGAGACTTGCCAAAGCAATGCATTCATAAAGCTTTAAAAATTGTTTACCCTGAATTCTTACTCAAATTATGGATTTTATTATTGTGAAGAAAATGAACTTAATTTTTCATATCTGTTTGATATCTTTGTATTGCTTGTTTAAGAAACTTCCAGCTATAATTGCATCACTCATTCTTGTCAAAATATTAAAAACTAAAATTGTATGAATTTGGGAAAGATGACATGAGCTATTAGGTAAAAAGGTGAGTTGAAGAGAAATAACTTTTATTTTATTTTGGAGACAGAGTCTTGCTGTGTTGCCCAGGCTGGAGTGCAGTGGCGCCATCTTGGCTCACTGCAACCTCCACCTCCTGGGTTCAAGCAATTCTCTTGCCTCAGCCTCCCGAGTATCTGGGATTACAAGCGCCTGCCACTACTCTTTTTAGCGGAGACTGGGTTTCACCATGTTGGCCAGGTTGGTCTCGAACTCCTAACCTCAAGTGATCTACCTGCCTTGGCCTTCCAAAGTGCTGAGAATACAGGTGTGAGCCACTCTACCTGGCCAGAAAAATAAAGTTTAATGAGATTCCATTTTTTCCAGATGTGTGAAGCTGCACAAGAAAAAAATGTCTGGAGGTAGATATACAAAGTGTTAGTAAGAAGCACAGTCCTTCTTAATTATAAACCACAATGCATCTAGCAAATGAAACATTGCCTGCAATTTCCTTTAAGGCCAGTGTCACAAATGCTTTGGAAGCATTTATTTGTCTCAATTCTGCGAAAAGAAGCTAATATAATATTTAACTACTGCAGAGGGCATCTGCTTGGATAAAATCTGTCTAGGAAGCGAAGAAGGCTACAGTTATTATTCTGTAGAGGAGGAAACTCATGGGGCTGTTTGGAAGTTCTACAGTCATGAATGACAGATTACGTTATTGAAGATCAAGTTGTCCTCTCTACATCAACTTGGGTTTGGTTGCAAAACATAACAGGCTCCAAAACACAGCTGGTTGTTTCAACTTGGAGACCAGGAACTGTGTGGCTGCCATGGAGGGAGGGTCAGAAGCCTGTGTCACAGTGAGTCAGGTTACACCTGATGTTTATTCAATCCTTGGCAATGATGCAGTGCATAAAAAGGTTTCCTATAATGTTGTTCTTCTCCCAAGGCTGTAATGACTTCCCAAATGCAGAAAGCAAAAGGCATGTAGGGCTGGCTATAAAAAAACAGGATCTCAGAGCTTTGTGAGAACTGTTATTAAAGTATAAGTATCATCACAGCTAGGGGTTCCTAAAGTAGGTAGGAATACACATGCAGTCAATCAATAGGTGTCTGTTGATTCCTAATGAGCTGACCCACTAGGAAAATCAGGTTAGGCTCCTGTGCATGTGTGGATACATTAAGGGGCCCATTCACTGCTGGAGGCCCTGGAGGGAGCTCTACCATTTCTCCAAACCTGTGTTTGGTAGATTAAAAACAGGGTCTTATAGCAGTGTCTTAAATTTCTATAGAAAAGTACCTCCTGGGGCTAAGGTGGGAGGATCGCTTAAGTCCAGGAGTTTGAGACCAGCTTGGTTAACATAGTGAGACCCTATTTCTACAAAAAATTTTCAAAAGTTAGCTGAGCATTGTGGTGCATGCCTGTAGTCCTGACTACTGGAGAGGATGAGGTGGGAGGATCGCTTGAGCCAGGAGGTTGAGGCTGCAGTGAGCCACTGCACTCCAGCTGGGTGACAGAGTGAGACTCAGTCTAAAAAAAAAAAAAAAAAAAAGAAAGAAAAAGAAAAAAAAGCACCTCCTGGAATAAGATGTGTGAATGAATGAATGTGAATAAGAGAGACAGCTTGTCATTGACTTACAAAACAGAGACCTCCACTTGTTGACAATACATGAGAAAACTTCAGGCTTCATTTCTCAGACCTTTATTCTTCTAAACAAGGTCCAGCCCTCTGTGTGTTACGCTCTGTTAAGCACAGAAGCCCTAAGTTCTTCTATAACTAATTTGGACCTGTTATTTCTTGGCTCTCACAATCCTCTCCCCTCTAAGAAGCAGGGTGAGCCCACAAGAAGCAATGGAGCAGGGCAGCGGCCGCTTGGAGGACTTCCCTGTCAATGTGTTTTCCGTCACTCCTTACACACCCAGCACGGCTGACATCCAGGTGTCCGATGATGACAAGGCGGGGGCGACCTTGCTCTTCTCAGGCATCTTTCTGGGACTGGTGGGGATCACATTCACTGTCATGGGCTGGATCAAATACCACGGTGTCTCCCACTTTGAATGGACCCAGCTCCTTGGGCCTATCCTGCTGTCGGTTGGGGTGACATTCATCCTGATTGCTGTGTGCAAGTTCAAAATGCTCTCCTGCCAGTTGTGCAAAGAAAGTGAGGAAAGGGTCCTGGACTCGGAACAGACACCAGGAGGACAATCATTTGTTTTCACTGGCATCAACCAACCCATCACCTTCCATGGGGCCACTGTGGTGCAGTACATCCCTCCTCCTTATGGTTCTCCAGAGCCTATGGGGATAAATACCAGCTACCTGCAGTCTGTGGTGAGCCCCTGCGGCCTCATATCCTCTGGAGGGGTAGCAGCTGCCATGCCGGGTCCTCCTCAATACTACACCATCTACCCTCAAGATAACGCTGCATTTGTGGTTGATGAGGGCTGCCCTTCTTTCATGGATGGTGGAAATGACAGGTATGGCGTGTCTGCTGGGGGAATGCTCTCCTTCTAGCCATCTCTGTTAATAATATGTGGCTGTGTTTGGTCTATGAATAAGGTGTTGGGAGAATGTGAATCTCTGCTTAGCCTGTTGCCCACAATGGCAGCCTTGATTTGTGAGTGGTGCTTTGGACCATAATGTACCTGTGTTTTCTGCTCACATTTCAGGCCCAGTCCTGATGCTGAACAGCTAGAAGAGACACAGCTGGAAGAGGAGGCCTGTGCCTGCTTCTCTCCTCCCCCTTATGAAGAAATATACTCTCTCCCTCGCTAGAGACTATTCTGATACAATAATATAATGCTCAGCTCAGGGAGCAAATGTTTCCATCATTGTTACCTGACAACTGTGGTGCTCTATGTGACCTTCAGAAGTTACAGCAGCGCAGCTCGGGCAGCCTGATAGAGATCATTCAACAAATAGAAAGGGGAAATGGGAGGTGCAGGGTCTCAGATTGGTAAAAATTAGGCTGGGCTGGGGAAATTCTCCTCCGGAACAGTTTCAAATTCCCACGGGTAAGGAATCTCCTGTGTAAGGTTCAGGAGCAGGAATTTCACCTTTTCATCCACCACCTTTCCCCCTCCCCGGTAGGAAGGCACTGGTGGCTCAATTTTAACTCCAGCAGCCAATGGAAAAATCACGACTTCTAAGACTTTTGGAGTTTCCACAGAGGGAAGAGTCGGGTGGGAAGGAAGCAGGGAAGAGAAAGCAGGCTCAGCTGCAGATTTCCCAGTGGCAGTCCTCCAGACCAAAGCAGACTCATTTATCCCAAACAACTTGGCTGCCATCTGGCTTCTCTGAGGACTCTGGATACCTTAAGGCTATAAAACAAAACAAAACAAAACCAGTAAGCCAATGAAATAAAACAAAGCATGTCTTCTGTCAGAATGGTATTGGATAGTTGGCTAAATTATACAAAATAGATCATAATAGGATAAGGCTGTGAATAAATCCTTCCCTGATCACTGAGTCACAGTGATCCTTGGCGGCTGCTGTTCTCTTCTGCAAGGCTGAAGCTTGATGTGTGATGTACGTGGGTGGGCTCTTGGTCCACCCCAGATTGGGGCCTGTGCCAGGGTGCCAGGCATGAACTCACTGGGCCCAGAGGCTGACAGAATACAGGACTTCCCTAAGCACCCGCAGATTGGTGGAGTGAGACAGAGCAGAGCTGCCATGTCAACACATGGGCAATTATATGATGAAAACAATTCCTGTGACTAAAAGAAACTCATCCTCTTCATTAAAAAACTTTGGTGTCCTTAATCTCTCTGAATTTGGCTGTGTAATAAGCAACTGAAACTGACTCACAGACTTCAGAAGAGACAGTTTAAAACCACTAGGTTTTAAAAGAAAATCTTTGCTTTGGGTTTCAAAGGCAAGGCCACTCAAAGTAAGGTTGGCACATCCCAAAAAAGACATAGGATTTAGCAATCCTTTAAACAATGTTGATATCATGTATGTATATGGAGCGACTGTTGCTAACTTTGATCAGAAGTATCTAGCTTTCCAAGGATATGAGTGAAGTAAGCTTGGTATATTATTTTTGTCATTTATGTTATATCTTAGGGAAAAAACCTTTTCCCACCCACTTTCATGTTTGATGATAGGTGACAGGTGAAAATGATTCCATTTACACAAACTAGCTTTACATTCCACAGATCCCTGAGACACTGGGCCCCTAGCCGAGGGTCATTGGGTTTGGAGAAGAAGTTTGGTGACAAGGACCTGACTGAACATCACCAGTGGCATGCTGACCAGCAGATGACACTTCGGACCCCTCATGCCACCCTTACCTTGAGTGCCTCTCTCACCGTCTGCCCCCAACCCCTGCCATCCTCACCCACTCCACAATTTCATGTTCATGGATTTGGGTGACAGTGAACATCAAAAGTAACTCAAAAAAGAAGACACTGCTAGGAAAGGACATCCCCATGTGCAGCTGGGGAGGGAGGGCAGCCAGTTTGACTTGGAGATGACTGGAGTCAGATATGCAGGGAGGTGGCCTGGAGGGTTGGGGTGGTGGTTAGCTCTGGAAACTAACAGTTCTTGTTCCAAGACAGAGGGAAAAGTGCTGATGTAGAGGTCATTTATACTTTCAGAGAGAGGGCTTCAGGGCTAATGGCTTCTAGAGCTTGAGGTAGGAGTTGGGCCCACATCAGTCAGGGATCAGAAAATGGAAATTTGTCCACTAGTGCAACATTTATTTATTGAGCATCTATTCTGTGTCAGGCCCAGGCCCATCAAATGGAAATATAACTGAAAAATTCCACCAACAAGACAACAGACATGGCTTTGTCCTTGCAGAGCCTCTAATCTAGAAGTCTAGTGGGGGAGAAAGATACAGATTCATTATCTGTATTAATTATTTATTGATTATCCTCTGATGCCACTGAGAGGTCCTGTAGCCCTAAGAGAAATTTGGACTCATCAAAGGGTCACGAGGCTTCCTTGGGAAAGTGAAGTCAGGGTCACTGTCTTGCAAAATTCCAGGGAGCACTGTTCACAGAGACATCTAAGTGACAGGTGTCTGTGGACCTGTGGTGTCTGTGCTAAGAGCTAAAGGGAACAGTGGCTGTCTACCAGACAAAGAGGAGAGGGCAGGAGGGAGGGGCCTGGCAGAGCCCCATGTGGGAGGCAGTATTAGGAGGCATTTTGCAGGCTGTGTAAACCTTTTTATTTTTCTACTGCTACGACCCTCAAACAGAGCTGCCTTCCAGTAACCTAGAAATAACACCCACCAATTTTCTTGCTTTGAGACAATCACCCATGCTGTCTTTATTTCTTTATTTGGAAATTTCAGGGGCAAACCTGATGGGAAGCCCACTGAGTGGCTCCTGAACCCTGACTTCCAACCAGGTCCTTGCAATATCTCTGACCAGCAAGATTCATTCCCAACAGAGTTTCTGGTGTGTTGTCCAGATATTTGCCTTTTATCATTTGTTCACTCAGTATCTCAGGGTGAATCATGGGAAACTATGATCTGGGGACACTGATTGGAGTCCAGCTCCTGGCTATGCTCTTCTCCCTTAGATTATCAGAGGAGGCTCTGGGTGGGTACCTGAAGGTTTGGTGTCCAGGCCAGAACCCACGGGGCCTGGTCAACCTTGTCAGATTTGTCAAACATTTTAGGCTTTGTGTGAAGAGCAATTGGGAAGCCATGAAAGTGTTTTTCTGAAGAGGGAGCCGCGATCAGATTTTGCACATTGACTGGTTAGGGCAAGACCCAGAGGACACATACCAGTATGATAGTCACTTTGCTGGTGACATTCAGAGCACAGTGACCAGAATATCAGGAGCCATTCTTCCCCTCCCCTCCATCCTCAGCCTGCAGAGGGGTCATGTGGTGGGCATGCTCTGGGGATCTACACAGAATTAAAAATAAAGCTGAAAGTTCTTGTTGATTACAGGAAATGAATTTCTTAAGAACTTGTTATCTCCCAGGAGCAATTTGGGCTGGGTCTTTTGACTGGGCAACTGAAAATAGCTGATGGTTTTGATGGAGCAGGAAAGGGATCCTCCAGGTTTGAGAAATGAGGCCCAGACACCAAAGGAAAGAAGCTTTCACAATGCTCTTCAGAGATTTCTTTCCCCCTTTTGGGCCACTGGAGGGCCAATTTCTTGTGCAAGGAGGCTCTGGTTTCCCTGCCCTCTGGGAAGTGCCTTCTAGAGGTGGAGGGATTCCCAGATATCCCAGTCACGTTCCCTTCTGCTCTGCAGGCCAGCACAGGTGTAAGTTTCAAATTCACCACGTGGGTCTCTGCTACAAAACCAGCCCTTTGACTGCTCTCCTTACTTTTTTTTTTCTTTTTTAGGTACAGCATAAAAATAAAGCCTCCTTTTTTCTGGAGAGATGGCTTGGGTCTCTGTTTTCAGCTTCAGACCACTGGGGCTCCCCTGGCCTTGATGACTGTTAGATCAGTGGAGTAGATTGCACCAAGCTGAATACTGCTGGGTGGCCAGTCTCCCAAACAGAAGCTCCTCACAGTAACCAACAGGTAGACACCTTCTTACTTACCAAGAGGAGAGAGGCTCCCGCACACATCACAGAGGCTGCTGTGGTCCAGATATCAGTAGTGTCCCCACCTGTCATCACCTGCTCTGTCTGAAGTGACTACAGCTCACATCACTCAACATTCACTAAAGGGTCCCACTCAGAGCCCTTTACACAACCAATGCATGGTTTCTGTTGAATAATAAATGTGATATGAGTATACGAAAAAATGTCCAAATACATAATAAATAACCATTCCAGCTTGTTAGCTGTTTTTGTTGTTTTTTACATTGTAAAAAATTTCAAACAAATGTAAGAGTACAGGAAGACCTCATTTTATTGTGCTTTGCAGATTTTTTTTTTTACAAATGGAAGGTTTGTGGCACTCCCATGTGGAGCAAGTCTCTCAGTGCCATTTCTCCAAGAGCATGAGCTTACTTTGTGTGTCTTCATCACATTTTGGTAATTCTTGCAACATTTCAGACTTTTTCATTGTTATATCAGTCATGGTGATCTGCAATCTGTGATCTTTAATGTTACTGTTGTAAATATTTCGGGGCACTATGAACCTTGCTCATAGAAGATGGGAGCTTGCTTGATAAAGGTGTGCGCTCTGACTGTTCCACCCCCAGGCCATGCTCCCAACTCACTCCCTCTCCTTGGGCCTTCCTATTCTTTGAGACACAACAGTATTGAAATTAGGCCAGCTAATAACGACACAATGGCCTCTAAGTGTTCACGCATAAGAAAGAGTTGCATGCTTCTTACTCAATATCAAAAGCTCACTTGAAATTAAGCTTAGTGAGAAAGGTGTGTTGAAAACCCAGACAGTCTGAAAGCTAGGTTTCTTGTACCAAATAGTCAGCCAAGTTGTGAATGTAAAAGAAATTAAAAGTGCTACTTCAGTGAATACATGAATAACAAGAAATTGAAAAGCCTTATTACTGATGTGGAGAAAGTTTGAGTGGCCTGGACAGAAACCAGCTACAACATTCTCTTAAGCCAAAGCCTAGTCCAGAGCAAGGCCCTATCTCTCTTCAATTCTATGAAGCCTAAGAGAAGTGAGGAAGCTGCAGAAGAAAAGTTGGAAGCCAGCAGAGGTTGCTTCATAAGGTTTAAGGAAAGAAGCCATCTCCATAGCATAAGAGTGCAAGGCGAAGCAGCAAGTGCTGATGTAGAAGATGCAGCACGTCATCCAGAAGATCTGGCTAAGATCATGGATGAAGGTGGCTGCACTAAACAACAGACTTTCACTGTAGATAAAACAGCTTTCTATTGGAAGACCATCTAGTTCTTCCACAGCTGGAGAGGGGAAGTCAGTGCCTGGCTTCAAATCTTCAAAGAATGGGCTGACTTTCTTGTTAGGGGCTATAGCAGCTGGAGACTTGAAGTTGAAGCCAATACTCATTGACCATTCCAAAAATCCCGAGGCCCTTAAGAATAATGCTAAATCTACTCTGCCTGTGCTCTAGAAATGAAACAACAAAGCCTGAGTGAGAGCACATTTGTTGACAGCATGGTTTCCTGAATATTCTGAGTTCACTGTTGACACCTGCTGCTCAGAAGGATCCCATTAAAAATATTACTGCTCATTGGCCCAAGAGTTCTGATAGAGATGTACAAGCAGATTAAAGTTGTTTTCATGGTCACTAAGATAACATTCACTCTGTAGCCCATGGATCAAGGAATGCTTTCTATTTTTAAGTCTTATTACTTAGGAAATGGATTTTATTAGGTTATAGCTGCCATAAATAGTGATTGCTCCGATGGATCTGGGAAAAGTAAATTGAAAACCTTCTGGAAAGAATTCATCATTCTAGATACCATTAAGGACATTTGTGATTCGTGGGAGGAGGTAAAAATGGCAACATTAACAGGTGTTTGGAAGACGTTGCTTCCAGTCCTCTTGGATGACTTTGAAAGGGTCAAGACTTCAGTGGAGGAAGTAACTGCAGACATGAAGGAAACAGCATGAGAACTAGGTTTAGAAGTGGAGCCTAAAGAAGTGATTGAATCTCATGATCAAACTGGAATGAATGAGAAGTAGCTTCTTATGAATGAGCAAAGAAGGCGGTTCCATGAGATGGAAACTACTTCTGATTAAGATGCTGTGAACATTGCTGAGATAACAACAAAGAATTGAGAATATTTCACAAACTTGGTTGATAAAGCAGCAGCAGGGTTTTAGAAGATTGACTCCAATTTTGAAAGTTGAGTTCTGCTGTGGGTAAAATGCCATCAAACATCATCTCATGCTGCAGAGAAATCTTTC